ACGTCTTTCTTATCTGGTGTGTCTTAAATGGCAAGCACTTTGATCTTGCATACATTATATTTCATCACCTTCTTACATGCAAAAGAAAGAAAAAGGTCTCTCTTTATTATCCCATGGTTCTCTCTCACATATTTATGGCTAAGAAGGTTCCGCTTGATAGTCGTGAAGTAGTCAAACCAGGGCCAAAACACATTCTCACTGCCTCCAATCTTGCGTCAATGGGGCTAAAAAGGGATTACAATAATGTGTGGTTTTATCCTAGGCAACGAAGGTTGGAAGAGGCTCGAGCTAGAGGAGAAGAGATTGAGGATGTTGATGATGGGGATGAAGACGGCCATGAAAGTGATGACGATGATGAAAATGAGGAAGTTCCAGTTGAAAATCGTACCAATCGTGCTCTCTTGTTGGAAATTCTCAAAGGGACTCGTCAAAACCAAGCCACTCTTGAGAAACAACAAACTCAACTTGACGAAATGCACATGGCAATCGCTCATCTTAATGACAATTTTACAGAATTTCGAAACCAATATGGACCTTCTTCTCCTTAGAACAGTTTTTCTCCATTTCAAACCCTCTTTTGTGTGCACTTATTAGCATTATTTGCTTTAGAGAAGCATTTTTCTATGTTTTATAAACTATGCCTTTATCTGTCATATGGTACTCGTGTTCACAGTCTCTTTCTGTTATCTATAAATTGCCATATTTGTTTATCTTTTGCCCTTTATTTCATTCTTCTCTGATATTTCCTGAAATGGCAAGTTATTTTTCTTTATCTATTCATTTAGTCTCCCATTTTTTTTGAGATGACAAAGGGGGAGAAAGATGTGTTATCATGCTAATGTGCTATTCTATTGCATTTTTAAGTATCTTGATAGATACATATTGATAGGAGGAGAAGCCCAAAATTACAATTCATGCATATCATTCTCATCTCATCTCTCAAAGAACATAAAATTAGCTCATTAGCTTTTTAAACACATTCATATGAGCCTTACATCATACTGGAATTCATTTTAAGCCTCCTACTGAAAGTAGAGAAGGCTCTACAAAAATTAGAGAAGGCTCAAGGGAAAGTAGAGAAGGCTCTAGATTTGTAGAGAAGGCTCAGAAAATTAGAGCAGGCTCCATTTCAATTAGAGACGGCTCTACAAAAGTAGAGAAGGCTCTAGATTTGTTGAGAAGGCTCAGAAAATTAGAGCAGGCTCCATTTCAATTAGAGACGGCTCTAAAAGCTTTTTTCAACGAAATGAAGTTTCCATCCAAAGAGCAGGCTCCCAAAAAGGAGAGCCGGCTCTCAAGGTTAGGGAGCCGCCTCCTCTTGTTTACAAGAGCCGGCTCCTTCTAGGGTTTGGGTAATTCATATAGTTTTGTATGTGATATTACTTATACAGCAGGGTGTGAATACTTAATTATGAAGGTGAAGATTGTATTTTTTTTAATTTTTATAAATTTTTTTTTATGCTTTCTTATTAATATACACACACGCGGCCACACACACACATATTATTTTCTCTATATTCACTTCAAATCAGAAAAACAGTATGGTGAATTCAGATAATTTCATAAGTGCTATTACTTAAATAACAGGATGTGAATACTTAGTTGAGATGGTGAATGTACTTAGAGGAGATTTGCCGGTTCAACCAAATATCTATATATAATAGAGGAGTTGTAGATATACTTAGTCATGTCAAACAAGCAGTGCATTTAATTATACATTTACAGCTAATGTTGTGAGTTATTACACAATTTCGTGTTCAACTAATCCTAACCTACCACATTAATTGGCTATGCACATTGACTATATATCCACCATAAGTTCTTCCCTTTCTGGTAAACCAATGGTTAACCTTCCCCCAAAAGGTAACCAGCATACACAAAACAAGTAGTCTAAAAATGAAAATAGAAGAACTCCCACCGCCGTTGCTCAGTGAGGTGGTTAGTAGAGTGGCAGCAAATAATTTTTAAGACCTACTACAACTTTAACAATGGTAAGGATTTAATTGTACATTATTGTTTTATGTTTATAATATTTTTTTCATTCACGAAATTTTTTGTTAAAAGTGTTTAAATATGTGCAGTTCTCATAAGCTAGTTATGGTGTGTTTGGAGCCACATATGTTACGACTTCTCAGTTTTAAATCCTTGTACGAAATACAAACGGGGGGTACCAGTGATACTTACTATTTGCGATGCGTGTTCATGCAAAAGTGTGTTGATGATGGCAATTTGGAGGCTATGTTTGTCTCCGGAGTGGTACATTGTTTGCACTTACTTTACTAAATTGTGAAAGTAATTTAATCGGGTTTATTTTTAATAACTTTATGTTGAATGTAGGAGCTATTTTTCTTGTATCAAAATCGGGCAGATGGCCTAAGTATTCTAACCAAAGGTGCATATCTTCAGCATACTGGTTGTAAGTTTGCTTTAGTCATAACATTAATATATGGCAATGATGCTGATAAAGTAAATGGTATTCAACAACTTTCGAACATGAACACAGACATAACAAATAAACTGATCATAAAACATCGGAGGGAACAAATGCTTTCAATAGTGAAAAGAGGGTGGTCAAATGGGTTATTTCATAACATTCCTGCTTGTTGTGAGGAAGATTATGGACCACCGAACTATGAAGGTGACATAGTTCACGTCAAATGGTGGATGGTCGAGCGAATAAATAAGGAGAAAATAAAATGTAATCTTTGCCATTGCGATCTCCACATATTGATGGTGTCTAGCATCATTGGAGAAAAAGTCATAGTCAACTGATGATAACCGTTGATGTTGTTTTCTGTATGTAATGTGATATATGTGTATGTATCTAATGTGATGTATGTAGTGTGATGTTGTATTTAACTTTTGAAGTAATAAAATGGAACTTTTGGGATGGATAATCTAATTAACACTGTCTAACATAAAATCGCCATATGCAAGAGGCAAATTAAGTATCGCCATCATTGGAGAAAATAGCCAGATGCCATTCACGGAACCATGTCACCTTGAAATTAATGGTTTCAACCTGTCCCAAATCACAAACAAAATGGACTAAACAATATATGTACACATACATATTTCAATTGACATAAATAGGCCTGAATAAAAATCCATTTCATTTTCCATATATACAAAACCCAAAAAACAAAAGTGAACAAGTTATCCATACATTTACAAATCTTTACTCAAAAAGGGATATATTTTTTATGCCACCATATTCTGTTATCATCCATCAACCATAGTATACCTATACACCATCAATTTGTCAAGAATTTCTTAACTCAAAACAAATTTTGCCAAGCTGGAGGATTGATCTCGGATGTTGTCTCCTCCGACATTGGCATCAAATTACGGTCACCACTGGTGTGATCAACATCCTTAAAATGGATCATAAAAAACAATGTTTGTACATACGTTAATTAATGCAAAGTTAAAACATACATGTTTAGAATATATTGCAGAAGCATAAATTTTATAAGAGATAAACTTACAAGATAATCTGAGAATCGGCATTCATGATACGAAACAAATGGAGTCCCCGGCCAATATATTCTCAATGTTCATTAACTAATGGATTTCAAAAGTATGAAATAATGTTCATTAATTTTTATATACCTAGTTCAGAATAAAAGTTTGTTTATACCTGTTCAGTTGGTGGAGTCCTGGGATGACTGAAGTTAGTGGTAGGGCAATATGTCATTTGGTCGATATTTGTTTCCGAATGTAAACGTGCACATGGGCGATGATCTTCGTAAATCCAAGTGGCGTCGCTAGGAATGTCACAACCCTTATTTCAATATAAACATTCTTAATTAAGAGATTATCATACTGAAAATTATAATAATATATAAAAAATAAAAAATCAATGTTTTCATTTAAGAAAAGGAGAAAACTCACATTCAGACGTACATATGTAATAGGTGGCACGGTACTACTGCCACCTACACCTGCACTAACACTGTTGTTGCCATTTGATTTCTACAAAATAATAGATTTATTCATTGTAAAAACAAAATTATGACATTGCTAATATCAAAATGTTAATGACATATACTGGAAAATTAAATTATCAAATAATAGAAAAATAAATTAAATTAACCTTTCGTTTCGCATAGTTTTTTTTTCTTTGCATGTATTGTTCAAATTTATTCTTCTTCCTGTGCCTTGGTCCCTTACCACCTGTTTCTTTATTCTTTATACCCTTGGCATTACTTCCGGTCACGGCTTGCCCAATGATACTTTCATTATGTTCATGATTATTACTTCTTTCAGTTGAAAAAGCTGAATTGGTTGCCTCTTGTTCAACATCGAAACATTGCCTTTCAACATTAATGTGTTTCCTTTTCCATTTCATCCCCTTTAGCATCAAATTATTGAATACCTCTTCTTTCTCGGATGCAAATGAGCTGATTTCTGTAAAAAAAAACGACATAACATCCTATACCTTCTGCGTACTTCAAGTTTAGGATCAGCAATAACTTCACATCCACGGATGTCTTGTACGCTGTTATCCCTAGCTTTTCTCATCCACCTTTTTAGTATATACATAGAAGGTAATTCTTTGAAATACTGAGTGTCGTCTTTCAGTACTTTAAGTACATGGCTGCACAAAATACCTTCCATTGCATATTTCCCGCACGAACAAGTTAGAAAGCCATCATCCCACCTTGTCACAGTCCGATCCATACTGCCATCATGAACAGATACTCTAGAAACACGTAATCCATTTTCATCAAAACTTGTTCCTTCCACGGTACCAACCACACAAGCTTCTATGAATTGGTCCTGGAAAAGTTCAAAAATCTTCAATGTGTACATATTGCCCACTTGTTTTAGAATGGGACAATTTTGTTTAAGTCTAGGTAGTTTACTGAGTAAACCATACTCAGCTTGATATTCCTTGTACCGTTTGTCTGACAATAGCCTGTCAAGGTGCATGAAGAAATCTGGAATACTCATTTTCCTGGTTAAGTACTCTTTCAAGCAGCTATTTAAACTTTCACTCAGCTGCGTTGTCCGCATTCCAGCGGTAAACCAATGTTTAACAAATGGATAACCCCATTTTCTCTTAAACCAAACAAATTGTTCAACCATGTGTTACCAACAACATTGTAGTCCCTTAACATTACATCCCATTGTATACAAAAATCATCCTCATCATCATAACAGTACATGAATTGACTCAGCACACTTTTAATCCCTTCATCATTCCTAAAAATGGTGCCTACATGCTTCTGTGCATTTGCCATGATGTGCCACATGCAAAGTAAATGTCTTGTCCTCGGCATAACTTGTGCCAACACGTTTGCCATTGCACCATCTTGGTCAGTAAGAATCGTTTGTGGTGCTTTACCTAACATCACATTCAAGAATATATAAAAAAGGCATGTAAATGAATAGGCAATCTTATCAAACATCATCACTAAAATTTTTAACAGTATTGAAAATTTGAAGGCAAGACCATTATGGCCCAATAAAATATCTTCATTTGAAAAAGTAAATCACATAAAAAAGGTAAAAAAGAATGGCCATGTTCAATTATTAAAGGCTGAAGTTGATCATGCCCTTTTTTAACCCTTCCTTTTTTTTTTCTTTTTTTCTTTTATATATATATATAGACTTTTTCAGTATGATTCTGATTTTTATTAAAAGGGCATGATCAACTTCAGCCTTTAATAATTGCAAAAAGAAAAAAAAAAAATTTACATTTAGACTACTTACTTGACATTGCATTCAAGAATGAATCAAACAGCCACGCAAAGGACTTGGCAGTCTCATCATACATCAATGCTAGTCCAAAGACAGCAGTCTCCCGATGATGATTCAAACCAAGAAAAGCCGCAAAAGGACGATTGCTTTGGACGAGCTTGTATGTCATGTCGAATGTGACGACGTCTCCAAAATGCCCATAGTCAATTATCATTCTCGAATCTGCCCAGAAGATATTAGTTATCATTTCATCGCTATCCAACTGCACAGTGTGAAAAAATGAAGGATTCTCACAAGATTGAATTTTGAAATAATTCATCAGCCATGTCTTCTCTCCGTATTCTAACTCACTCTGTCTTCTTGTCCTTAGAAAATTTTGTTGATCAACTTTGGTGTAGCCAATTGATTGCCTCCCACCAGCCTGCCTGCTCATTAACTCAAATGCATTACCGAGTGGAACTCCAGATTGGCAGGCCAATTCCACATCAATTGCTTGGGCAACACTTATTCTTCATTGTGATGGCATCATATGTGTGCATTCTTCAATTATCATAGGATGATTGTGAGATTCGACAAAATTATATACAACATACTTTCCCTTCTTGCGGTCATATCTAATTTGCATCAGTGCACCACAACCGGTTCGAGTTTCCGCCCTGGGCTTTCTTGTATGGATATCCCTCTTGTCCTTCACCCTAAAACCTTGTTTGGAACACACAAACTTGCTTGTTGTAATATTTCCTGTCTTACGGCTTTTATTTGCATAATCCTTACGAATACTGAATCCAACTTTACCCCCATAAGCATTATACAAGTCGTATGCTTCATCCTCAGTGTCAAACTACATGTTCAATTTTGGTGTGAATTCTATGTCAATGGGATTGACAACTTCTGCTACTAAGTTTTCAGAAATATTGATTTCGGCAACGATTGGAACGCTTGTTCTCACATCATTAATACTTAAGTCATTATCCATTGGGATAACTTCAGTATGAATTCTACAACAACCAAAAGGTCAATCAAAACGTCAAAGTCAGTTTCTATAACTTGTGACAAAAAATATATATATACTAAATATTTACCAAACTAATGAAAAGGCCTAAAAAATCGTACAATTATCCAAGATTTCAGATACACTAGAATGCTTAACTAAAGTCAATTTCAAGTAAAAAAAAATATCATAATTTAAACGAACTGATGACAAATGAAAGAATTAAAAAAATTTAACTTTTGGTGTGAAATTAGTTTTGCAGAGGTGTGAAATTAGTTTTCAGAACTGTGTTAATTGCTTATTTTGATGGTGAAGGTGATCAGTGTCCCTATTTATTAAACTTCACAATGTATTTTTTCACATAAATGTGACATAATAACCTGTGAAATGTGTAATTGCCGCATACATGAGAAGACAAAATATTTGGATAACACATTCGTATCTAATGAAGCCAACTCAGTTAAAAAAAAAACAATTAGGGAAGATTTTACATTCACTAGAATGGTTATTGAAGATTATAGATGAAAATCCTACAATTAACCAAGATTTCAAATACTCTAGAATGCTTAACTAATGTCAATTTCAAGTAAAAAAAATCATAATTTACACTAACGGATGACAAATGAAAGAATTAAAAAATGTTAAATTTAAGCGTGAAATTAGTTTCGCAAAGGTGTGAAATTAGTTTTGCAGAACTGTGTGAATAGCTTATTTTGATGGTGAAGGTGATCAGTGTCCCTACTTATTAAACTTCACAATGTATTTTTTCTCAGAAATGTGACATAATAACCTGTGAAATGTGTAATTGCCGCATACATGAGAAGACAAAATATTTGGATAACACATTGATATCTAATGAAGGCAACTCAGTTAAAAAAAAATAATTAGGGAAGATTTTACATTCACTAGAATGGTTATTGAACATTATAGAAGAAAATCCTACAATTAACCAAGATTTCAAATACTCTAGAATGCTTAACTAATGTCAATTTCAAGTAAAAAAAAATCATAATTTACACTAACGGATGACAAATGAAAGAATTAAAAAATGTTAAATTTAGGCGTGAAATTAGTTTGGCAAAGGTGGAAATTAGTTTTGCAGAACTGTGTGAATAGCTTATTTTGATGGTGAAGGTGATCAGTGTCACTACTTATTAAACTTCACAATGTATTTTTTCTCAGAAATGTGACATAATAACCTGTGAAATATGTAATTGCCGCATACATGAGAAGACAAAATATTTGGATAACGCATTGGTATCTAATGAAGCCAACTCAGTTAAAAAAAACAATTAGGGAAGATTTTACATTCACTAGAATGGTTATTGAAGATTATAGAAGAAAATCCTGTAATTATCCAAGATTTCAAATACGCTAGAATGCTTAACCAATGCCAATTTCAAGTAAAAAGAATCATAATTTACACTAACGGATGACAAATGAAAGAATTAAAAAATGTTAAATTTAGGTATGAAATTAGTTTTGCAGAGGTGTGAAATTTGTTTTACAGAACTGTGTGAATAGCTTATTTTGATGGTAAATGTGATTAGTGTCCCTACTTATTAAACTTCACAATGCATTTTTTCTCAGAAATGTGACATAACAACCTGTGAAATGTGTAATTGCCGCATACATCAGAAGACAAAATATTTGGATAACGCATTGGTATCTAATGAAGCCAACTCAGTTAAAAAAATAATAATTATGGAAGATTTTACATTCACTAGAATGGTTATTGAAGATTATAGAAGAAAATCCTATAATTATCCAGGATTTCAAATACGTTAGAATGCTTAACTAATGCCAATTTCAAGTAAAAAGAATCATAATTTACACTAACGGATGACAAATGAAAGAATTAAAAAATGTTAAATTTAGGTGTGAAATTAGTTTTCCAGAGGTGTGAAATTAGTTTTACAGAACTGTGTGAATAGCTTATTTTGATGGTGAAGGTGATCAGTGTCCCTACTTATTAAACTTCACAATGTATTTTTTCTCATAAATGTGACATAATAACCTGTGAAATGTGTAATTGCCGCATACATGAGAAGACAAAATATTTGGATAACACATTGGTATCTAATGAAGCCAACTCAGTTAAAAAAAAAAATAATTATGGAAGATTTTACATTCACTAGAATGGTTATTAAAGATTAGAGAAGAAAATTCTAGAATTATCCAAAATTTCAAATACGTTAGAATGCTTAACCAATGCCAATTTCAAGTAAAAAGAATCATAATTTACACTAACGGATGACAAATGAAAGAATTAAAAAATATTAAATTTAGGTGTGAAATTAGTTTTGCAGAGGTGTGAAATTAGTTTTACAGAACTGTGTAAATAGCTTATTTTGATGGTGAAGGTGATCAGTGTCCCTACTTATTAAACTTCACAATGTATTTTTTCTCATAAATGTGACATAATAACCTGTGAAATGTGTAATTGCCGCATACATGAGAAGACAAAATATTTGGATAACACATTGGTACCTAATGAAGCCAACTCAGTTAAAAAATAATAATTATGGAAGATTTTACATTCACTAGAATGGTTATTGAAGATTATAGAAGAAAATCCTACAATTATCCAATATTTCAAATACACTATAATGCTTAACCAATGTCAATTTCAAGTAAATAAATATTATAATTTACACTAACGGATGACAAATGAAAGAATTAAAAAATGTTAAATTTAGGTGTGAAATTAGTTTTGCAGAGGTGTGAAATTAGTTTTGTAGAACTGTGTGAATAGCTTATTTTGATGCTGAAGGTGATCAGTATCCCTACTTATTAAACTTCACAATGTATTTTTTCTCATAAATGTGACATAACAACCTGTGAAATGTGTAATTGCCGCATACATGAGAAGACAAAATTTTTGGATAACGCATTGGTATCTAATGAAGCCAACTCAGTTAAAAAAAAAAAAACAATTATGGTAGATTTTACATTCACTAGAATGGTTATTGAAGATTATAGAAGAAAATCCTATAATTATCCAAGATTTCAAATACGTTAGAACGCTTAACCAATACCAATTTCAAGTAAAAAGAATCATAATTTACACTAACGGATGACAAATGAAAGAATTAAAAAATGTTAAATTTAGGTGTGAAATTAGTTTTGCAGAGGTGTGAAATTAGTTTTACAGAACTGTGTGAATAGCTTATTTTGATGGTGAATGTGATCAGTGTCCCTACTTATTAAACTTCACAATGTATTTTTTCTCATAAATGTGACATAATAACCTGTGAAATGTGTAATTGCCGCATACATGAGAAGACAAAATATTTGGATAACACATTGGTATCTAATGAAGCCAACTCAGTTAAAAAAAAAAAAACAATTATGGAAGATTTTACATTCACTATAATGGTTATTGAAGATTATAGAAGAAAATCCTAGAATTATCCAAGATTTCAAATACGCTAAAATGTTTAACCAATGCCAATTTCAAGTAAAAAGAATCATAATTTACACTAACGGATGACAAATGAAAGAATTAAAAAATGTTAAATTTAGGTGTGAAATTAGTTTTGCAGAGGTGTGAAATTAGTTTTACAGAACTGTGTGAATAGCTTATTTTGATGGTGAAGGTGATCAGTGTCCCTACTTATTAAACTTCATAATGTATTTTTTCTCATAAATGTGACATAATAACATGTGAAATGTGTTATTGCCGCATACATGAGAAGACAAAATATTTGGATAACACATTGGTATCTAATGAAGCCAACTCAGTTAAAAAAAAAACAATTATGGAAGATTTTACATTCACTAAAATGGTTATTGAAGATTATAGAAGAAAATCCTACAATTAACCAAGATTTCAAATACGCTAGAATGCTTAGCTAATGTCAATTTCAAGAAAAAAAAATTCATAATTTACACTAACGGATGTCAAATGAAAGAATTAAAAATGTTAAATTTAGGTGTGAAATTAGTTTTGCAGAGCTGTGTAAATAGTTTATTTTGATGGTAAAGGTGATCAGTGTCCCTACTTATTAAACTTCACAATGTATTTTTTCTCAGAAATGTGACATAATAACCTGCGAAATGTGTAATTGCCGCATACATAAGAAGACAAAATATTTGGATAACACATTGGTACCTAATGAAGCCAACTCAGTTAAAAAAAAAACAATTATGCAAGATTTTACATATACTAGAATGGTTATTGAAGATTATAGAAGAAAATCCTACAATTATCGAAGATTTTAAATACGCTAGAATGCTTAACCAATGTCAATTTCAACTAAAAAAATATCATTATTTACACTAACAGATGACAAATGAAAGAATTAAAAAATGTTAAATTTAGGTGTGAAATTAGTTTTGTGGATGTGTGAAATTAGTTTTACAGAACTGTGTGAATAGCTTATTTTGATGGTGAAGGTGATCAGTGTCCTTACTTATTAAACTTCACAATGTTTTTTTCCTCATAAATGTCACATAATAACCTGTGAAATGCGTAATTGCCGCATACATGAGAAGACAAAATATTTGGATAACACATTGGTACCTAATGAAGCCAACTCAGTTACAAAAAAATAATTATGGAAGATTTTACATTCACTAGAATGGTTATTGAAGATTATAGAAGAAAATCCTACAATTATCCAATATTTCAAATACACTATAATGCTTAACCAATGTCAATTTCAAGTAAATAAATATTATAATTTACACTAACGGATGACAAATGAAAGAATTAAAAAATGTTAAATTTAGGTGTGAAATTAGTTTTGCAGAGGTGTGAAATTAGTTTTGTAGAACTGTGTGAATAGCTTATTTTGATAGTGAAGGTAATCAGTGTCCCTACTTATTAACTTCACAATGTATTTTTTCTCAGAAATGTGACATAATAACCTGTGAAATGTGTAATTGCCGCATACATGAGATGACAAAATATATGGATAACACATTGGTACGTAATGAAGCCAATTCAGTTAAAAAAAAAAAAAAAAAACAATTACGGAAGATTTTACATTCACTAGAATGGTTATTGAAAAAATCTTACAATTATCCAAGATTTCAAATACGCTAGAATGCTTAACCAATGTCAATTTCAAGTAAAAAAAAAAATCATAATTTACACTAACGGATGACAAATGAAAGAATTAAAAAATGTTAAATTTAGGTGTGATATTAGTTTTGCAAATGTGTGAAATTAGTTTAGTAGAACTGTGTAAATGGTTTATTTTGATGATGAAGGTAATCAGTGTCCCTACTTATTAAACTTCACAATGTATTTTTTCTCATAAATGTCACATAATAACCTGTGAAATGTGTAATTGCCGCATACATGAGAAGAAAAAATATTTTGGATAACAAATTGGTACCTAATGAAGCCAACTCAGTTAAAAAAAACAATTATATAAGATTTTACATTCACTAGAGAAGATTATAGAAAAAAATCCTACAATTATCTAACAATTCAAATATGCTAGAATGCTTAACCAATGTCAATTTCAAGTAGAAAAATATCATAATTTACACTAACAGATGACAAATGAAAGAATTAAAAAATGTTAAATTTAGGTGTCAAATTAGTTTTACAGAGGTGTGAAATTAGTTTTACAGAACTGTGTCAATAGCTTATTTTGATGGTGAAGGTGATCAGAGTTCCTATTTGTTAAACTTCGCAATTTTTTTTTCTCATAAATATCGAATATTAACCTCTGAAATGTCTAATAATTCACCTAGAGCAGGCTCCAATATTTATTGGAGCCTGCTCTAGGTGATTTAGAGCCTTCTCTAAATAGAGCAAGCTCAATTACAAAGTGGAGCAGGCTCTACTTTGTAGTAGAGCCGGCTCTACTTGGTAGTGGAGGCGGCTCCACTTTGGGTGGAGCCGGCTCCTTTATGCATTTTTTCATTTTTTCGTTTCCAGCCCGATTTGGTTGCCGCATGCATTTAATACCAATTTTTTTGATAACACATTCATACCTACTGAAGCCAATTCAGTTCTAAAAATCAATTATGGAAGATTTTACATTCATTACAATGACAGATCGATGACAAATGAAAGAATCATAAATTTTCTAAATCTACATTGTTTCGTTCAAAACAAAAATTTCACTGTAAATGAACAATATATTAAATGTACAATATTAATAACACTTACCAACAATCAAGCATTAATTAGGTCAATTGTAGATACCACATCAGGTCCATTGTAGATTTCCTTCCTGTAGATGAATAGTTGACATTGCATTGAGAAATCAGCACACTACAATCTGGGTTTTGATTCAAAAAAGATTATAAAAAAGTAAGAATAGAGGAGAGAGGAATTAGGGTTTCCAATAAAAAAGAAATTCAAAAGCAATATGTTTTTTTCATGGAACAAAGAGAGAAGAATAAGGGTTTGGATTAAAATGAGAAAGGAAGGAGGGAAATAACAAAAGCAAAAGGGAATAAGGGGACAGTGAAACTGCAGAAGGGCGGGGGCGGCAGCTTATTTCAACTTTCCCTCTTCTTTTTTTTTTCTTTTTTTTTTTTCTTTTTATTGGTTTTACAGTTGGCACGTTAAGTTACTATGCCGTTTGTGGACTTCTTTTTCTTGTGCCAAGCCAAACACGGCATTAAGCAACTCACAACAGGGGACCGTATGGTAACTCCTAACAGGGGATTTGAGCCCTACTTAACTATAGGCTTTCGGAGAACTTAAGAATTCTTGGTCCCCCACACATATATTTAATGATTTTGGAATCTTTGTTGAAATATATGAATTTAAAATTTTGGAACAATGAAGATATGAAAAATTGTGCGCGTCACGTTATTGCACGAGGCTGGAGAAATTATGTCTTCAGGAATTGCTGTTTGTCTGAGAAAGTTTGAAGGACAAAACTTTGAATCATTATGTTTTATTGTGCTCTCATATTAAAAAAACAAAAAAAATAATCAATATATCTTCTTCTCTCTATTTGGAAAGATATCACAGAGTTTGATGATCTAGTTTGTTTGTGACAAGTTAGTGTCTTATCCTGCTTTAATGTTGATTATTCTTTGCCTTGGAGTTTGAAATTTAACTTGCACCTTTGACTTGTCTAATCATCCTTGTGGATTATGTATTGGCCTTCAGATACAATCTCAATCTGCCTGCTTAAATGAGTGGTTGAAATGTCATGTTCTATGTTGGTTACCAGATTCATGACATTGGTGAGATAGGCTTAATTGAGGCGGGCTTGGACTGCAATGAAAAATTTGCTCGTGAAGAAAAGTTGGATTTCTAGTCTCGGGCTTGTTGAGAGATATCACTAACAATAAGCATTTTGAAGGATTGTGGCATGGATTGTTGCAATCTTGCATCTGCCACAATATGTCGTCAGATGTTACAGGTGGTTACCCAAGCAATTCATTTTATGTTGGGAAGTTGCCCTGAAGCATCTATTCTACTACGGTGCATGGATGGTGTCCACAGAAACGAGCCAATTTCCTATAGTTGTTTTCATGATGAATAGTTGATGGATGTGGATATAAGCTCTTGTCTTCTTTATACTAACCATTTCAAGCAATTTACTTGGGTTGTTCATACTAGTATAGATACCTGCAAAAGACACTTTTTCTTGATGCATTAGATTATCTTTTTGTGATGTTGTTTTGTATCATTACTGTCATCGCCTTTGCCTTTTTGTCTTTTGAATAGATTTGCTTTTTTTTTTTTCTGCATGAAAGACAGTGGTCGGTTCTCCGCATTATATGAAGCCTGCTTTCAAGTTCTGAAAACCGAGTGGAAAGTTTTCGAGTCTTAGGGTGTTGGTGCATCTGTGGTAGAGGTACAGGAATAATTATATTGGTTTATTCATTATTGTAGTACTACCATACTTTAAAATACCTTGCTTGAGTTGCCGGCTTCATATTTTTTCCTCACTTGATATTGGACGGTGCTATGTAATTACAGACCAACACAAGAGTGCTGGATAGGGATTGCCAAACGTTTTTAAATCAGCTGGTTGATACCAATTGCAAGGAATATATTGATTTTTTTTTTTAATATGTCACAGAGCTTATTTTTCCAACTCTTTCTCGAATTTCCTTCAATTCTTGTTCCTACTTCCAGGTTGACCAGGTTGCTGTACTTATTCTTGACTCCGCCTGTGCTTTTTGTAGTCTTAGTAAGAATTCTACATTAAAGAAGTTTTTGATTTCATGTCTCTTTTTGGCTTTGAAAGCTACTATTATAGTACATTCATCTTTTTGTCACGCATCTATTTTCATTTAGTCAAGTTACTATGAATTAGTACTTGTTAATTTCTTCAGGATACAAGTATTGCTGCCATGAACTGCATTGAAGGATTATGCACACTGTGGCCTCGTGTTAATTTTACTAGATGGAAAAATGGTAGCACCCTACTGTCTTTCTACACTTCCTGATTTGCCTTAATTGTTGGTGTTCTCTAATCTAGAAATTTGACAGGAAGCAATGCGATTTGGAGTCATTTTCACGATGAAATTTTTGGGTTAATTGTTCAGCAAAGAAGGCTTATTTTATCAGACAGAAATGTGGTTTCCTCATTTTTAACGTCTTTGCTCAGCTCCTCGTATCATAGTGCCAGAGACTATTGGACAGAGGTTTTCTTCTTTCTTCTGTTATTGCTAGTTTTCATTATAATCATGATCATGGTCATCATTTTGTACGTCATCTTCACTCTCTTCATTATGACTAATATGCATTGTAGTCACTGATGTTTATGGTATATGAAGGGACGTTCCCTCTTTTCAAGCTATGCAATATCTTCTGTTATGTGCGTCTTGCCTACTTGATTACTGGAACAGTTGGTAACATTGAAAATTGTGCTCTCTCCACCATCCCCCACAGAAAGACGAAAAAAATAAAGAAAAAATAAGGGGTAGAATCATTGTTCATAAACAAAGAAATACAGGATTATATTCTAGTCTCCAACATTAGAAAAGTTTAAAATTTGATCAACATCAGACAACTGATCCTGTTCTAGCAATCTATCTCCAACACCCCTGATCACGACTAGGCTCTCCCTGTAGACGAAGCAGTCAATCCAAATGCAGGATCCAATATACTTAATTTCACAAGTCTCTGGATCATACAAGGCCATATGACCACAACCAATTTCTGTAATAAGCTGACCATTCTTCCAAAACCCAAATGGCAAACTCATTCCTGAAAGTTCAACGGTGAATTGTTTTGTCCGACCCCCTTCTTCTCTCATCACCCATATCTCAACTGGATTGCAATCATAATAAATCAGAGCAAGAGAGTTATTGTAGGGTACAAGACTTGCACATTTTGAACACGGAATGCCATGTATCTCGTGAAACAACTCATTGCCCATGTCAAATGCAAGGATCACATGATGACCTTCATTGTCTATTGCAAACCAGTGATAAACTCCATTAATGTATGTGTTGGACTGAGGGATGTCAATGCTCGAATAAGGCAAAGCAACATCAAGATATTTCCAGGAATGAGTAGAATGGGTATACACAGCAACCTCATAAGCACGTAACTTTATATCTCTAATATCATCCTCACTGTCCCAAATCCAAACTACCTTGTAATCGTTAGTAATGGGATCCAAACCAAACCCAAAAGTTTCTTGAGAACTCACCACATTCGGTGTAAAGTTACGAGGGAGTAGTGGGAGGGACCTAAATTCTCTAGTTGCAGGATTCCACAGAGCAAAGCGTTCCAAACTATAGGAAAGACACAGCAAGCCATTACAGGAACTAATCCAAATACAGTTGGGCAGATCCACAACCACATCCTGATACTCCGGGGGAGAACCGGCAAGTGTTTGATCGGAGAACAGTGAGAAAACATATTTATTGGAAATTTTGTCATAACGATTAACAAAAAGACGGCCACTGTTGTTGTGGTGGTTCAAGTGCTTAGTAACAAAACTAGGGTTTATGATGATTGTGTACCAATTTTTGCAGCCTCGAGAGGATCTCAACAATCACATCCTCAGGAAGCAACTGATGAATTTCATTACAACTTGCCATTTGCCCATTCCTTTCCTGTTGATTCGATTGAGAAAACCTAAACCCTATTTCAATTGAGATCAAAATACTATCATTTTTCATGAATAATGAGAAAAATTAACAATATCAAATAGTATTGAAGATAACAGGAAATTAAGAAGGACGATGAGACTCACAGGAAGGATTCTTTAGAATGAATCATCCGTCGGCAACTATAAAAGATGGAACACCATGAAAGAACACACACTCATTCCAGCTACCAGACCAGGGCAAGCAGCCTCTCCAAAACTCACTCCCTGTCTAAGAAACGCAAGGACCATTTTTACCCAAGACCAAACCTATTTGTAGCAACTATATATATATATATATATATATATAATGAAAAGGAAACATATTAGCGACCAGTTAAAACCAATTTAATTTTTTTTCATTTTTCTTCTCCTATGCATTTTTGCATTGAAAAGAAACTCAAACACACTCATTTACTTTTAAACTCTCACCATTTACTTTGTTATTTGTTTGGTTAAATGAAAATTAGCAGCCAAAAGTGAAAAAAAAAAAAAATGATTGAAGTGAAATGAAGAAAAAAAAAAATTTCTAAAATTCTTTAGGTTTGGATGATTTAGGAAAGTTCGATTTCATAGTTTGGAGTCAGGACAATACAAGAGTTTAAGAAAATATTTTAGTTTATCAAACACATTTTGTGTTTAATTTTCATTATAATACTATATATGTATAAAAATAATAATCAAATAAAGGTTGTATTTCACATTTTAGATTAAATAAAAAACTAGCGTCAATCATATGTTTGTTGAGCAATAAAAAATTCTCTATTTTCACGCACACACAAAAAACTAGCGTCAATCTATGTTTGTTGAGCAATAAAAAATTCTCTATTTTCACACACGCACACACAAAATCAATCACTAAATAAAAGGTTAAGCGTAAAAAACACCCTCACTGTATATTGGTGCAACAAATCCCTTATTTTGCGCAAATTAGCCATTTTGACCAATATTTTTTTTTAATAAAAATTCCAAAAAGTCCTCCTAGTCCGGTGAAAGGCATCTCCGAGGAATACCATTTTCCGGCCAAAGCAATCACCGTCGTCCTCCACCTCCCCATCTTCGGCCTCCCCTCCCTCATCAATGAACCCACTTCCTTTTTGGTTCATTGTTGAGTTATTAGAAATGGGTTCATTGATGAGGGAGGGGCGGCTGAGGATGGGGAGGTGGAGGATGACAGCGATCACTTTGGCCGGAAATAGTGTTCTCCGACGATGGCTTTCACCGGACTAGAAGGGTATTTTGAGATTTTTTTTAAAAAAAATTAGTCAAAATGGCTAATTAGGGAGCAATTTGCAACAACAAAAATAGTAGAGCGTTTTTTGCATCCAAAAAAAAAAGAGTAAGAAATTTTTTGCACCTTTTGTATATAGTGAGGATATGTCTTGCACTTAACCCATAAATACATCACTCCTCCAACCACTGTCCTTTTCTTGATAAAAAAGAATCAACAGTTAAATAATTTTTCATGTTTTAGTCGACATTGGTGGTGTAGACCTCTAAACCATATTCTAGACCAGATCTTATAATCAGCACATTGTTGTAAAGTTACAGAGACTTTGTTGCGCTAGGCTCAATAGGCGAGCCATATATTGTTGAGTTTTCAAATTGGCAGTCCACTTTTTAAAGAAAAGAGTCACTTCTGCAATTATGCTGAGGTTGCCCTTCACTTTATTTGGTTTGCAGTTCGCTATCTTAACATTCACTTCTTTTTTTCTTTTTCTTTTTTTTATTAAATATCCTTTTTTTAAAATAAAATAAAAATGTGTTTATTTGTGTTTTTCCCAAAAATTAATTGAATAAAATGTACTTTCATATTATTAATGAATAAAAAATATTTTTAATTGTTTGTTTCAATTATTAAAAAAATATATTAAAAGAAACAAAATTTAAAAAAATATGATATTACATATATAAAGAAAAAGTACATTACATACCTTCCCACAAATATATATATACATAAATACAACAACTATATTAGTTGACATTATACATATTTTAAAAGAAAAAAATAAAAACACATGATACATATTTTCAACTTCCTTCCAATAATAGTACAGGGCGAGCTGAGAATCCTCTTGTAACATGGCATTACCTAGAATCAGCAAAATGCATTTTCTATTGAAATCAGTGAAACCCTGTCTGTAATCAGATTCAGCTCTGCTCTTTGCTTCCACACACCCAACTCACCATTTCATCGACTCATCGATCTTCTTCTTCTTCTTCAGATGATTCTAAGATCGCTGATGGTCTCATTTCCATCTTCACCGATATAAGACCCTTTAGCGCAGACACCCAAGAACTGAGGGACTATGGATCAAAACTCACAAACAAATTGTTGAAGCTGAGTTGGGAAATAGGTCACATGTTCTTTAATTGGGCTTCAAATCAATGTGGGTATAAACATAATTATTATACTAACAATGTCATTGCTTCCATCCTGTCACATGCTCGTCAAAATGCCCCCACTGAAGGTTTTAGCCTTGGATAAATCTCCCATTGCCTGGTAGATGAGGATCGCATGGAAAGAATTATATCCTAATATGGTACCTAAGTAACATAAATTGATAAGATATCATGCCATTACCTTTTAGTTCTGCATCTAGATTACCCCATTTCACCAAAACACGCGCATGAATCATACGAAAATGAGATGAGATGTAAACCAGAAATTTCAAAATCCTCATCAGCTGGAAGGAATTGAAACAAAAGCATTTCATTCCTACTTCATTTGATTCCATTCACTCAAACCAGCCTATAGAAAACTTTTGAACTCGATCTACATCAGACAACTGATCCTCTTCTAGGAATCCATCTCCTCGGCTAATTGCTACTAGACTCTCCTTGTAGACCAAGTAGTATTCCCAAATTGGGGATTCAAGATCTTTAATTTCTTGAGTCTCTAGATCATATAAAAATACATGAACACGATCATCAGTTTCCATAAAAAGCTGACTGTTCTTCCAAAATCCAAGCGGCCTTATTTGTTCCGAGAGTTGAACAGTGAATTGATTTGTCCAACCCCCCTCCTCCATCATCACCCATACGTCAACAACTTGATCGGAATCATGATAAATAAGAGCAAGAGAGTTATTGTAGGGTGCAAGAATTGCATAGTATCCATGTTTTGCACTAGGAGTAGAAGTATCACGAATCTCGCTAAACAAATCATGGCCCAGGTCAAATAAAAGGATCGAACGATGATCCCTTGGAGTAGGAGTATCACGTATCTCGCTAAACAACTCATTGCCCAGGTCAAATGAAAGGATCAAACGATGATCGTCATTGTCTATTGCAAACCAGTGATAAACTCCATTAATGCACGTGTTAGAGACAGGGCCTTCAATCAAAGTATATGGCAAAGCAACATCAAGATATCTCCACGAATCAGTAGATAGGGTATACACGGCAACCTGCCAAGGACCATACCCTGTTTCTTCAGGTTCATACGTTGCTGCATCAACATAATGCACATCGTACCAAATACAAACCACCTTGTAATCATTAGTAATGGGATCCAAACCAAATCCAAAAGTGTTTTGGTACCCCACCTGCACATAGGGTGGAAGGTCACGAGGAGGGAGTTTCGGGAGGGACCTAAATTCTCTAGTTGCCGGATTCCATAGAGCAAGGCGTTGGGAACGATTGGTCAGACACAGTATGCCGTTATAGGGACTGGCAGCAAACTGTACATGGTAGATCATATCCACCACCACATCCTCATACACTTGGGGAGAACCGGCGAGTGTTTCATCAGGGAACAATGACAAAACAAATCTGCTGGAAATTTCGTCAAAACGCATAACAAAAAGATGGCCACTGTTGTTGGTGTGATGCTTGAAGTGCTTAGTAACAAAACTAGGGTTTTTGGTAATAGTGTTCCAATTTTTGCATACGGCTCTGGCCCGAATCACAGATTTCACAGGCAGCCATGAGAGGATCTCAATAATCACATCCTCAGGAAGCAGCTGATGAATTTCATTACAACTCGCCATTTGCCCCTCCCTTTCCTACTGATTCGATTGAAAACCTAAACCCAATTTCAATTGGAATCAAAATACTACCATTTTTCTTGAATAAAAAGAGAAAAATTCACCAGATCAAAAAGTATTCAAGATAAACAGGAAATTAAGAAACTTACAGGATTCTTTGGAATGGATCATCCGTTGGGAACTAAGAGAACACCATGAAACGAGCTGATTTTCTTGGTTTTTTCCTTTTGAAATCTCAAGATCTAGGCTCTTGTTGGGGCTACCAGAGGCAGAGCAAGCAGTCTTTCTGAAACTCAATTAGATCAGTGCAAGAAGCGCAGAGAATAAGCACTTATTGGAGCGACCAGAGCAAGCACAAGCAGACTCTCCAAAAGTCAATCTCTCTGTGTCTACCGACACTAATAAACGGTGGTGTGTTAGAGCAAAAATTAAAAATGTAGATAAGTTTCTTTATATACTACTTTATTAACTAAAAGTAATATATATATATATATATATATATATATATATATAGACCAACTAAAATTATTTTATCAACTAAAACCACTCTTTGAAGTTGATAGTAGAATGATAATTCTGAGGTGTATTCATAAATTATTAGATAGTTGTGTACCATTCATATTTGATGGATCAATTAAGTACAAATTTTTATAATGAGAAAATGCTATTATAAGAATGTATCATATTCCGAAGTATCATATGGAAGAGTTGTCATTGAATTAGTTTAACAATTCTCAAATAGACCTAAACTATTTAATAATTTATCCTTATATTCAGAAGGTAAGATGGCCACGTACATTCATTTGGGAAGTAAAATTGATATAAATGAGTTAGGTATAAAGCCATACTTAATAATTTAAAATTTAAAATCGCATCACCAATCACCCCACTGGTGTCATGCCAAACCCTCGTCAAATTTAAATGGGAGATGAAATGAGTTATTTTTAAAATAAAAAAAATAGTGTAAAAGGCAATAAACCTCCTGAACTTTCAGCAAAAGACACAAAACCCCCCAGCTGAACAAAATAATACCCCTGAACTATTTAAAAATTATAATTTAAGGACAAAAATCAATTTTGCCCTAGGCGAACTTTAAATGTGAAGCCCTTTATACATAAGTTTCACATGCGCAAAAAAAAAAATATATATATATATATATATATATAAGTGCGAAATTTTTATTAAAGTAAATGTGATTGTCTTGAAATCTAAATAACAGAAAACACAATCAATGTAAAACTAAACTTTTTTAAAAAATTGCTTTACTAAAAGAAAATATAGATTACCTCAATGACTATCTTCAAGTGAAGGATTGCTTATAAGATGTCTAAATGATATGATTTACAGAGAAACAAAAATACCTCATGAGATGGCTAAATGATATGTCTTCAAGTGAAGTGTGAAGGATTGTTGGATTGAAAATCCTATATTACAACAAATTCATTGAGTTAATTCACAGTTCACACAAAAGAATAAGACAAATTAAATTAAACTAATTTTTTGGTTTAAAAACTACTTGAATTAGAGTCGAAGTGTTAAACTTGAACAACAACAACAACCCTTGTGAGTTATGAATCGTCGAACCCGAATTGGAAGTTTAGAACAATCTGAATAGAGAGAGAGGAACAAAAGCGTGAACTTTTAACCAAAAAACACAAAAAGCGTGAACAGTGAACTGTGAAGACGATATTGATAATGTGATATTGTGATGTTTTCAATTTTCTGGGTTTTAAACTTTTGATTTTTGAGGAAAAAAAATTGATTGTTGTAGTTGCAGTCTTGTCTTGGAGAGGCGCGAGTCCATTGAGATTCTTGAGAAAGAGAGTTCCGAGAATGGAGATTAGAATAGGATTTGGAGGTCAGGAGGTGCCCGGGCCGTTCAAATGATTTACTGGCATTTGTGTTTTTTTTTTTTTTTTTTAGGCCCCTTGAATGATTTGTTGGGTTACAATTTTTTTTTTTTTTTTGGGTGGCCCATCATTCATGGGCTTATAAATTTTGAGGCCCCTTAATGATTTGTTGTGCAATTTGGTTACAATTTTATTTTATTATTTTTTATTTTTTTTATTTTTTATTTTTCATTTTGTTGTACTTGCAGTCTTGTCTTGGAGAGGCACGAGTCTATTGAGATTCTTGAGAAAGAGAGTTCCGAGAATGGAGATTGGAATAGGATTGGGAGGTCGGGAGGTGCCCGGGCCGTTCAAATGATTTGCTGGCATTTGTTTTTTTTTTAGGCCCCTTAAATGATTGCTGGGTTACATTTTTTTTTTTTTGGTTGCCCATCATTCATGGGCTTATAAATTTTGAGGCCCCTTAATGATTTGTTGTGCATTTGGTTACAATTATTTTTTTATTATTATTATTTTTTTAAAAATTTTTTTTTTTTTGTGTGGCCCATCATGCATAGGCCTATAAAATCTAAAGCCCTAGGCCACCACCTTGGTCGCTTCAGGTCAGGGCCAGCCCCGCTTACCGGAGATGTGAGATTATGAAATTACCCTTTCGTAAAAAAGGTAGTCTAACAAGTGTAGTTGCTGACTTGTCCAGTTCAATCTCAACAACTAATAATATTGTGACAACACAACACCAATCACCGACTTCACCCACCACTTCATCATTTTTGCGCCAAACAAAACTTTACAGCAACTACACAATTTAGCACCAAACACCGACCAGACCAGTCACTTGGTACGAAATTGACTCAGACTGAATTGATCATAAGGAAAATGAAAAATGAAACACAAATCAAGCCTCATCCAATACCAGAGATCGAGCCTCGACAATATACCAGAGAGTGTCGTAGTAAACACTTTTTTCACCTCGTCAACACAAATTCAACAAAAGTTTTGATTTGGTTTATGAAACAGAGAAATTTGACCCTTTCATTTTTTCATTGTAGAAAATTGCCTTAAAGAACGTCTGTCAGGGTTTGTGAACGACTGAAGATGGGTTTGTCTTGTGATTGTTGAAGGGTTGTAGAGCACTGAGAGATGGCGATTTTGCAGAGCATAGAGAGAGAGTGTGAGTTAGGGTTAATGGGGCCAATTTAGGGGGTTTTATTGTGTCTGCAATATTTGTATCAATGATATACACAAATTGACCAAATTCTCACCTCAATGATACAGAGACATGATTTGTGTAGATGCGGGTTTCGTATTTTAATAATGACGACCATGATGTATGCCATGGTGAGAAACGTGGCGGTGCCGGCTAAAGCCATGATGTATGTCACGCTCAGCGAGTTTGAAGCGCTTGCCAATTCTGCTGCCGACGACAAACTTAAGCCAACTCAGCGGCGACGTTATGGGTTTTGGTGGTGGTGCCATGGTTGTTCCGTTCTCGATCTCCATGAAAGGTGGAGAAGTTATATATATATATGTGTGTGTGCGTAACTAGAGAGTATATATATATATATATAGTGATTATTTTTCAGTCAAAACCTAACGAAACAGTGTCTGTGTTTTTTTTGCAAAAATTGAGATAGTTTAAGGGATTTTTTGTAAAAATAAAAAAATAAAAATAAAATATTCAGAAAATTTCTTGGGTGAGAGAGTAAAGTTCGCCCCGCCGGCCGCCCGGGGGTTTTATTGCACTTTGCCTAAAAATATATATATAACTATAAATAGGAGTGCTTTAAAATAAAAATAAAAAACACACCTAATCAAGTTGCTTGATTAGATAGATGGCCCAACTGGCTGACCACCTCTGTGTGCCACATAGTCTTCACTCCACGAAATATTTAATACCGAGTACCTCTTATCTTTCCTCACCAAACACCGCGGAATCCAATTTTTACATGGGTTATAATTATGTAATAATGTAAACTATAATTATGTCATTTTTATCCTTCTATGTTCTAAATAAAATGGGTTTTCGAAATTTTTTTTGATAAGAATAATATAATATTATGTTCTCTTTAAATGTCCTACAATATAATTTATTTTTAAAGAAACCAAAAATACTTAGAATATTTTTTATGAATATATTACCTTATTTAATATATTTATATATATATATATATAAAGCAATTTAGGTAAACTAAAATATTATCTTGTAAATTTAATATTGTCCAAACCGTAAAGTAGTACCTGTTAAAGATACTTTAATAAAAAACATAAAAAATATTTATTATAAATATTATTATATGAGTTACTTAATATATATATCTTAATCATTATTACATGAGTTAAATTATATTTATGGGGTATATAATTTCAATCATTATTTCTACCATTATATTACCTTAGACATTACATATTTATTCTCTATATATATCTTATGTGTATGGCAATTGGTTGAGTGATATGCTGTGGAGGGATATATTGTATACTTTCGTATATAAAGCTGTGAGCCTATTTCCTTGAGAGTACTTTTACATATTGAGTTTATGAGCAACTAGACTTATATAGACTTTGACTTAGTCTTCTAGTGGTCGTGCACATGGAGGAGACGCCTTTGTGAGCTGATTGAATTGTATCTTAGAGCTAACTAGTTTCACCAATACCCGCACAAAGGGGAGGACTATTAGCTTTAGGTTAATGTGTTTACATATGCCTCAACAATCAAGCCAGCACTTTCTTACCCATTTTATTATTATCAATCAAGCCAGCACTTTCTTACCTATTTTATTATTATCGTTCTACTTCTTAATTTATATTATGGAGTTAATATTCATATTATATTACTGAATTATTTATCTTGTTAAATTCATGTTCAATGTTATATCCATATTGGTCAATTGATGTATTATTCAGTAAAATGAAATAATCGTTATTAGATTATTCATTGGTTCATTCTTTGAATCATTGTGTATAATTATTGTACTTTATATTTTTTTATAAAATATGTAAAATTTTCACAACAGTCTAAAGCTGATATTAGTCTTAAAATTAATATATACTTGTGTGTGTTTGTTGGTATAAAAATATAGAGTCATTTACATGTAAATTTTGATACATGCATAGGTTAAATTTTATTTGGCAATTTTCGATTTAAAACTTTGAATTCTAAAGTTTATATTCGGAGATTCATAGATACTTTATATAAAATAAAATAAAAGTGCATATAGTATAAAATGGTAAGTATGTGTTTTCTGCCTTCTTTGGTTATTACTTTTGATAACATGCATATACTCTAAAAAGAAAGTTTCTATATTATTGATTCCTGTAAATGTATGTGCTTTGTTGTTTACCGAATTTACAGTATTACTGCATTGTATATTCTGTATACTCTAATAGGCTTGACGGATGTTGCTATAATTAAATTAATTTGTGTAATTAATAACTTTATTATAACAGTTAAAGTTTATATATTTATAATCATTACAGCTATGGCTTATATAGCACTATTAAATAGATATAGATATATAACGGACAAAATACCTACTTTATTGGGTGTTTATTATTTGATTGCGGTTA